ATTTGGCATATTTTACAGTTTTAAATGTAGTATGAGGTCTGATGTTTTCATTTCATTGTTTCGCGTGCATATTTTACTGTTTTATTGATTATAGGTTGAATGACTGAGAAACCGATGCTGTATGTTGTCTTGTTTGGCATAAATTACTGTTTGCTTATTTGTATGTAAATTGATGATGCTGACTGAGGAAAATGAGAATGAAAGATTATGTAAATTGATAATTATATAATGTGGTCAGCCGGACTAGATATCCTGGGATATGGTGGACGGACCGGGTCCGTAGGAAACCCTACCGGGATTGTGGTCTCTCATACCGGACGGGTATGGAGACCTTATGTGTTTTGGCGCCCATACCGGACGGGGTATGGGGACGGCCCTGGAATCTGATTACAAGTGTTAAGGGTTCACGGGTAGCGGGACCCCTATGGATCCCAATGGATACTAGTAGGCTGGTAAAAGAGGAAAAATATGTTGTGTAATGATTGAATTACAAAAGGCGTGATAAATATTATGTTATACAGTTTATATGATTTCATGATGATGATAATGTTATTGCTTTCGTATATTGTTTTATAAATTTCACCTAGGTAAGTGGATGGTAAAGGTTTTATTATTGATAAAAGGATTTATTGTAAATTATGCTCCATTGGTCTTTTTGTATTTTCTACCCACCTTTACCTCCGTGACGGTGAGATATCGTGATGTCTTTACTGGGCTAGTGTAGCTCATTCTTTATTTAATCATTTCAGATCAGGAAGACATTGTTCCCAAGCCCGTTCCGCAGGAAGATGACGAAGGGGACGCCTAAAGACTCCATAGTCATATTCATAGCTTTTACTTTCGAGTTTCTCTTTTAGTTAGTTTGATCTTTTATATTTTGAGCACGTTTTTGGTTTTAGTGTAAGGGATGTTAATCGAAATTTTGACTTCGCTTCCGCATTTGACATTTTTAATACACATATTTCATTTTAAATTTCCAAGGCCGTTACATGTTAAGTTTTATCTTACAAAATATAAATGATGTAACACCCAACAACTTTTTTCTTTTATTATTTTATTTTTATTTTTATTTTTATTTAATTTGAGATTTTGTTTATTTTATTTTATTTAATAATTAATTTATAATGTTTTAATTTAATTTAATAGAAATAATAATAATAAAATATGGTAAAATTATTTTTGGGATTTAATTGAAATTGATTTTAGGAAAAAGAGATAAAAATTTGGATTATGTGGGTGTTTTTGAAAAGAAAATCGAAAACCGGGGGTCAAAACGTAATTTAAAAAAATGGTGCCATGTCAGTAGCCCGGTCAGCAGCCCCGGCCAACCAGGACACGCCGCGTGGCAGGAACGCTGACGCGGGAAGCCACGCGGGACGGAGACACATGGGCGATCTGCGTGCGCGCGATCGGACGGCCCAGATCCGTTCCCGTGCGCACGGACGGCCCAGATGAAAAACACGTATGGACGGTCCAGATCTCACGTGTGCAGACTGTCCAGATTTGATCACGCACAAATGACTCAGATCGCATCACGATGGATGACCCAGATTTATTTCCAATTTAATCGCAATCGGACGGTTCAGATTAAATCATGATGGACGACTCAGATTAAAAGGAAAATATTATAAATAATCGGATCCATACCCAACCTCAAACTCTAACCGCCAGAACCCTCGCCAGAGAATACGACCCAGCCACCGGAGGAACCGGCCACCTCCACCCGCCGCCGCATCGGAGGATTTTTCGGCCGTCAAACAAGGTAAAATTTCTCCCATTGGCTCGTTTTTCGATGCTGAACCTCCCTGTGGCCAAATCGGAGCCAAACCACCAGCCGATTGGCTGAAAAATACTGCCAAAGTTCAGCGGTGCCGCCGCGAATTTCCTCGATTTTTGCCTTCGATGAGGCCCTTCCCGGTTCCCATTCAATGTAATTTTTATACCACTGTGACCACCGTCCTTTTCTCTACAGGTTGACTAGAGAAAAACACTAAATCGCAACTCGCGCCGGAGGAGCCGTCGTACCCGAGAGCTTCGCCGTCGATAAGTCTCAGTTTTCTGAAATTTTTTGGCCCACCGAGGGCCCTAGGAGTGTTTTATCACAGGAAACAATACAAGTTTGGCTGAATTTGGCAGAAAACGGCCAACCCGATACGGATCGCCGCCGTGGGCGGTGGCGGCATCGCCAGAGCACGACAGAGCTGCCGTACCGAAATTGGCCAAAAGGGCCCTGAGTATGATTTAGGATTTTTTGGGGACATGTGCATGTACCAGAAGTGTGTTTCAGTTTTTGGAGAAAAATTCAGAGAATGTAGGGACTGCCCATAGGCGCAGTGAGAACCCGATTTCAGACTCCAAAACAAGTAAGGATCTCTCACCCTATTTCCTATCACAGCATTAAAGCTTAATAAATGATTAAACGATATTTTATGAATTTATAGATATGTATAATTAATTAAGATTGCTAATGGGGCCCGAACCTGATGTATTTGTCGGTCTGTTTCTGTTTGATGTATTTTACAGTCTAAATGCAGTATGGTATCTGATTATTTATTCTGTGATTCCGTGTGCATGAATAACTGTTTAATCTATTATGGTTTGAATTATTGTGAACCCGATGTTGTGTTGCCTTGTTTGGTGTACGTTGCTGGTTTACGTATTTATGTTAATTGAGTAATTGAGACTAAAAAAAATAAGGATGGTATATGAATTTATAAGTGGATAAGTCGACAGCCTCACTAGATATCTTGGGAGATGGTGGACGGAACGGGTTCATAGGAAACCCTACCAGGAACGTGGTCTCTCATATCGGACGGGGTATGGAGACTTTATGTGTTTTGGTGCCCATACCAGATGGGGTATATGGATGGCTCATTTCACCATCATACCGGACGGGGTATTGAGGTTTATGATTTTGGCGCCCATACCAGACTGGGTATAGAAACGACCCTAAAATTAAGTTATTAATGTGAATAGTTCACGTGTAGCGGGGACCCCCTATGGATCCCCATGGAGACTAGTAGGCTGATAAAAGAGGAAATTTGTTGTCTAATGATTGAAATACAAAAATATGGTATGTACTATGTTACAGAGTGTGCGTGATCTTATGATATTTTTGATATAATTATTTTAATAAATTATTTTCATGAATCTCACCGAAGTAGGTGGACAGTAAATAGTTTTATTATTGATAAATAAGTTTGTTATAAATTGTGTTCCATTGGTCGTTTTTGTTTTCTACCAACCTTTACTTATGTAACAGTGAGATAATGTGATGTCTTTACTGTGCTAGTGTAGCTCATTCCTTACTTAATCATTTCAGATCAGGAGTACTTGGTTCCCGAGCCCGTTCTGCAGGAAGACGGCGAATAGAAGCCAAAGAATTTATTAGTTTTCCTTATAGTATTCATTTATAGTATTTCCTTTAAGTTAGTTTATTCTTTCATACGTTTAATTCGTTTTGGTTATTGTGTAAGGGATGTTAATAAAAATCTATTTTATTTCACTTCCGCACTTAGAATAAATATATACATTTTTTTTTTAATTTCTGGAACCGTTACAAATGATAAGTGAGTGAGGTACATTTTATAAGCAAAAAGATTTTATTCAATTATAAAATATGCAAAAAGAAAAATTCTTATTTATATAAATATATTAATTAATCAAATAATTAAAATATTTAAATTATATTTTGCAGCATTTTATGCAATAGTAAGATAATATTTATTAGCACAAAATTACAACCGTATCACATATTCTGATGCTATTAACAAACACCGATTCCCTTTCTTTAAGTAACACTATCAATTTATTATTATTATTATTTTTGTATTCTTGCTGTATGCAAGTTAGCCATTTGTCATTTTCTTTCCTTTTTTTTTTAAAAAAAGATTCTTTTGGTTAGCTCATATTTTATTTTATAAAATTTGTTATTATTATTTTTTTTTTGAGAATACCATTATTGTTCAACTTGTCATTATTATTTTAAAATTTTGAGCCATTATTAATCTAAATTATTTTTTTATTTGAAACTAACTTCCATTTTAGTACGAGCAAATTAAGGGTGGCTATTGGGCACAATGTAATGAGAGGACGGTGTAATTAGATTCTCGGATATACGGACCAGTACATGTGGCGCTGCCATACTCACACTCACAGTGAACCCGACCCGTCTTCCCCTGGTTTTCTTTTCTCTCCCTCTGCGACTGGCAAATAGAAGGACATCCTCTTAAAGGACCTCCGTGTATAGGTATTTCTCAGGTGTTGTCTCTGTTTATAATTTTTGCTTTTTCGTATTTTTCAGTTGATCTCAAAGTAAGAATTGGTGAAATTTTGACTTGTTATTTTCTTTTCATACTAGCTTTTGTTTTCTCGATAGCCAAACAGACGTGGCAAGCTCAGACGACATTTTGAATTGCGCGTCATTTGACTTATCTCCTTATTTGCCAATGATTATTTATGAGCTTCTTTTATTATTCCTCCTAATTACATTAATTCATAAACGAAATCGCTTATAGGCGTCTTCAGATTGGATTATTGTACGGGGTTTGAGTTTGCAGTTCGATGTGCTTGAACGAAGAGCTAGTTTGAAACTTTAGCATATCTATTTCATGCGGTTTTCATCTTTCTTTCCTCCGCGGAGAGAAAGGAATTGCTCATGAAACTTATCTGTTTCTTTTCTTTTTTTTCTTTTTTAGGCAAAAACTATTTGTAGTTTGTTACAATTGGAGTAGAGATGGCTTTAGTTAAGAAATTGGATTAAGAAGATATATTTGCGGTTAATGATGGGAATTGTCTATATTTTAGTTTTGTTTTGTTTTGATGTTTGAGCAGAATATGGCATTGTTTGAGGGAATGCTTCCTGTAATAAAAATGAATACGAGGACTGCTTGGAGTTTTTTGTTGCTGGAGATAGTCTGGAGGAGGGTATTTGGGAAAAGGGCGATATTCTTAGATTATTTAACTCAAATGATGTATATTTAGAGAGACACTGCATCGAATTGTTGGAATGGCTCTGTGAAACCATTTTAAGGTGAGGCTGGATTTATAGCGTTCAAGTTTGAGCAGCGCAGTTTGTAGGTTACATGATTGTTTTCAGAATTTTCAATAGATTGAAGAAGAATGGTTCAAGTGAGTGTTAATAGCAAGTAATCTAGCCTACTACTAAAAGACATTGGCTGATAATCTGCCACCCTCCGCTTGGTGGTTGGTTACCATAGAGGGAGTGGTTTGACTCCTTCGCTGGGCTTTATGCCCCTTGATACAAGCTTAAATAAAAAAGAGACATTGACCTTTGAAGTCAGATTGGTTAAAACTAGCTGGCTTTATAAACAAAGTCAAGTGGGTTTTCTTAGTTACTAATTTACCCTTCTAAGTGACGTTGGCTTATAAGTTGGTTTGATCTTATGAAAGAAGCCAAATTTGTAACTTTGTGATCCTGCTGCTAAAATAATGGAGACACAGTGGATATCGACACGTCCTTTTTGGCTACTTATCTGTGGATGCCATTTTTATTTCTCTTAGCTATTCAGTTGCTCGGGCAAGGGACAGTTAAGTTTGCTGGCAGAATAGGTTTTCCAAGTGAAATAAAGATAGAATAGATTGCACAAATTCTGTCAACTTTATTTGGTGGAAGGAAAGAAACAGTAGAGCTCTAAAACCACAAGCCACCACAGGTTCGGTCCATCTTCATAGGTTTACTGAGCTCTGATTACCATTTGTGAAACTACAAGGCCACCACAGGTTCATCACATTGCTCAAAAGCTCTAACTGGTGATGTTTTTGAGGTCTTTAGATCACAAGCATATATCATGTGTAACGACCCCGGAAATATTAAAATGAAATGAGTATTTAAATATATCAAATGCGGAAGCGAGATCAAAATTTCAGTTAACATCCCTTACACGAAAAACCAAAAACGTACTTAAAATATAAAAGATTAAACTAACTAAGAGAGAAACTCGAAAATAAAACTATGAGTATGACTACAGAGTCTCTAGGCATCCCCTTCGTCGTCCTCCTGCGGAACGGGCTCGGGAACCATGTCTTCCTGATCTGAAATGGTTAAATAAGGAGTGAGCTACACTAGCCCAGTAAGAACATCACGATATCTCACCGTCACGGAGGTAAAGGTGGGTAGAAAAACACAAAAAGACCAATGGAGCATAATTTACAATAAACTCGTTTATTAACATGAAAACCTTTACCATCCACTTATCTCGATGGAATTTATGAAAACAATATAAGAAAAATAATAACATTATCATAATCATGGAATAATATAAGCTGTAAAACATAACACTTATCACGCCTCTTGTAATTCAATCATTGTACAACATATCTTTTTCTCATTTACCAGCCTACTAGTATCCGTGGGGGTCCATAGGG